CTATGATTTACTGCCATATTTTTTGATGCTAGTTAAACTAGATACATAGCTCCAGGCAGTAAGTGGCCTAAATTAAAGAAGCTCTGCTGATAGAAGCTCTTTGTTGCACTATTTTTTCTGCATTAAAGCATTTGTTTCTGAAACTTATGTATCTGAGAACATACAATGTAGACCAGAAGAAACATTCTTTACTGAACTTTATTCTGAAAATGAGCATTTATCCAAATACCCACACAATTATGACATACCTTCTATAAGGATATTGCAATATCTGTAACAAACTGCCCCCCACACCCCCAGTTTTGTATTGAGAAAGTACTAAAAGTAATGGAGGGTTTTTATAGTCCCTCTCAGTTACTTAATGTACTCAAAGGGAACAAAATACAGGCTGCCTGGTTTGATATCTCAAATGCAAACAGACTTATATCAAAGGTACAAGGAATGGTACTGACATTTTAATTTGCTTTCCCAAGCCAGAGGAGTACAATAAGCCAAAGTTCTTAAACGGTCTTGGACTTTTGATCTAGGAAAGGCTCCTGGCAATCTTTACATCTGCATAACTGAAGTAATGAAAGTAAAACCAGATTTTGTATGCACAGATTCTGGAGAAATAAAAATTATTACTCCAGAAATTTTCTGCCTATATGGAAATTTTATTCAGCATTAATAAGTGAATAGTTTATTATTATGTATTTTGTTTTCTTTACAGAGCACAGATTATTTTTTATTTTCTATTTCATATATATATATAAAATTAGGAAAAAAAATCTGTAAGTATTTCCATGAGTATATACTCAATATACAAGTTTACAATGTGAGTGGCAATCTTAGAAGTGCTAAAAGTGCAGTTGTTTTTCAAAGTAGTTGCTGTTGATGATAAATTGTATTCATTAGTATCAAAGTACAGCCACTCTGCACATAAGAAATAAAAGCTGTAAGGGCTCACAGCTAGGGAATAGCACCAGCAGTAACTTCTATGGATGCACAGTAACAGCAGCATCTTATACCAGACGGTTATTGATGGAAAAACTTTGTACTGTAAATACTTATGTACCTGTGAGCTTGAAAATCTTTGCCTTCTACGCAAATATTAATATCTGGACAACAGCACTTCTTGTAGAGCATCAATAAGTCTTCTCCTAACACAGATGCAGTTTCTACTTCAGAATTACCTGCATATAGGGAGAAAAAGCTGTTTTCACTTCATCAGCTCTACAAGAGACTATTGACAGTGCACAGACAAAGTATTTGAAAATTAAATTTTTATTACTGCATATTCAAGGTAGGATTTTCCTTGAAAAGTTTTCCAAACATTGCTTTTTACTTCTTATTTTGACTTATCAGAAACTTGACCAATGCTTCCTATTTGGTATCTACAGAAGAAGTACTACAGTTTCTCTTTCATAAGATTAAGCATCCAGTTAATTTTTTGCACTGAAGAAGAGTAGTCCCTGAGGAAGTTTGGGGTCATCCAGTGCTACAGGTTCCCACCAGAACAGATCTGCTGTCACTGACACAGCTGCAGCAGCCAGCACATCTGGGGGAGATGCGGCTGAACATTTCCTTGTATTATTTCATTCAGAACTGTAGCATGGAAGATTCTGAAAGGCTCCAGAACCCTCATAAAATAACAGTGGAACCAGTGCAATTTGCTAGGAAAGGAAAACAAGAGAGATATTCTGCTGTGTGAAAGTCCCACATGGTGAAGAGTGGAGCTTGCTGTATTCCAGGGAAAAGACAGGATGTGGTGATGGCCATGCTGGATGCCTGGCAATTCCAGATTTATTACACCACACACTGGCTGGGAATTGTGCCTGCCTAACTTCTGCAGCAATTCATTTCTTCAAAGCCTGAGACAATGAGGTGGGCAATACAAACGAATATCCATGACAGCTGTGCTGTAACAATAGTTTTAATTTTGCCTGCATTTTTACTGCAGAAAGTATCTGAAACTGCAGAAGTGTTTGAACAATTATTTAAAAGACAAAAAGAAAAAAAGTGTAATTCCAAACCTACCTGCAGTTGCTTTGTCGCTTTCTGCATCAACGACTGCTTCTGGAATTTCTTCCTGAATACCAGACAGACAAACAAGTTCTTTCTGCACAGCTCCACTTGGACTATTCTGATCAAGTGGTGCTCTTTTGCTTTGTCCAAGACAATTAACATTGTTTTGAGCATTCTGAAGAGTAGTAGTGTTGCTTTCTTGTATTTTCCTCATAAACAGCTCCTCAATTTCTTTAAGATTTATATCAGATGAATACAGAATCCTAGAAGATGACACTAGTTTTTACTCACGTAAC